CCCCCCTGGCTGCGGCAGGTTCCTGATCGGGCGGGAGAAGCCGGGCGAGCAAAGCGAGGTGGCTCAGCTGATCCAGCAGACACTGGAGCAGGAGCGGTGGCAGCGGGAGATGATGGAGCAGAGATACACCCAGTACGCGGAGGAGGACGAAGAAGTAAGAGGAGCGCGCAAACTGCGTTCCCCGGTCACCCTTTGCAAGGGCTGGAGACCGGAGCCTTTCCCGAAATCCCAGCCCGCCCCGCCCCAGAGGAGCACCCGGGACCCCCTGGGTGATGACCCCTGTGGCAGCGTACGGGTACCCCCATCCTGCACCCCCAGCGCAGCAGGAGGCTCCGCCCGCCCGTAGACTAAAGGGAGTTTAGTGCAACCCGGCACACCCCATGCTTGGAAACATCCAACGGCCTCCGAGCAAAATGGAGGGGAGACAGCCCCTGGCCCACAGGTCCGAATGGGGATCCCACCCAAGATCACCCAGCACCCGGCTCTGCCCACTAATCCACGCTGCCACCTCTGCCGGTGCCCCAGAGGGCCCGAGTCCTCGCGTGGACAGGGCCCCGTCTCGTGAGAGGAGGGGAATTGGGCCCCAGGCCCCTGCCAGCCCAGATGTCCCTCCGCCCCGGTACCCGCCCGTCTCCTGGAGGCAGGGGCGGATGAGGATTTTGCGGGGCCCAGGGCAGCACAATTTCGCGGGGCCCCCCCTTTGACACGGCGCATGCACGGGGCTTCTTGAAGCGCGGGGCCCGGAGCGGCCGCCCCGCTCGCCCTGCCCTGTATCCGCCCCTGCCTGGGGATATCGCCTGTTCACCGGCATTCCCGCCGTGCTGCCACCACCCACTGCCGCTCCGGAAGAGCCTGTCCCCCAACCCTGTGTCCCAGGGGCCCGAAGAGACAGCCTGGCCTGATTCACCTGGCCCTGCCGCTCAGGTTTCATGTGCGCTAAGTGAATGGTTCCGGTTCACTGGGGGGGGCGGAGCTGCCCCCCCCCTGCCACGGTCAGGGGGCTGCTCCGGCCCTGCCAGCCCCCCACTGACAGGGGTGCTCCAGCCCCCCCAACCCCCTTTAATCCAGTGAAACGGGATTTTACATCCCACGTTTGCACCAGTGCAAAGTGCACTGCAACGCCTTGGCTGTGCTGGAAGCACTTTGCACGGCTGTGAGTGGCACACGGAGCGCAGGGCCCTGCCTCCCTCCTCTCCGCAGCCCAGTCCCCAGCCCCACGGCCAGGAGGTGGCTGGGCTGGCCGGGCTGTGCGGCAGGGTGCAGGCTGCTCTCTCCTGGTCGCAGGGCTGCGTGGCTCTGCCTTGGGCTGAGCTGTGCTGGTGGGTTGTCTCGTGTGGGAGGGGATTGGGAAAGGAACAATCCGTTCCAGTGTCACGACGTCTCGTTAGCAGCTCGCTCTTAGCTAGCTCCGTGCACCAGCCGTCTCAGCGCACCTTGAACTGGAGCGCAGCACCGTGATGGCCGTGTGGCAGCGGGGAAACTGAGGCACGGAACGGGGACGTGAGTTGCCCACGGTCACCCCGTGGGCCAGGGACAGAGCCAGGCAAACCCAGGCCTACAGGGTCCCAGTCCAGCGCTCTATTCAATAGGCCGCGCTGCCTGGGGGCAGCTCCCGTGGAGACAGCTGGTGCTAGCACGCGACGAGGGCTGGGAATGGCTAACCGGCCACTGTGCCCCCACCCTGTCTTAGACCAGGACCCATTGAATTCCATTTCAACGGGCGTCGAGTGCCTAAGTCACTTGGGCGCCGAGAGACATCTCGGCCCTGCTCAGTCGCGCTGCAGGTGCGCAGCGGAGCATGGGGCTCTGAGTCGGGGGTCCTCTGCTGTCTCCCTCGGCGACGAGGGCTGGGAATGGCTAACCGGCCACTGTGCCCCCACCCTGTCTTAGACCAGGACCCATTGAATTCCATTTCAACGGGCGTCGAGTGCCTAAGTCACTTGGGCGCCGAGAGACATCTCGGCCCTGCTCAGTCGCGCTGCAGGTGCGCAGCGGAGCATGGGGCTCTGAGTCGGGGGTCCTCTGCTGTCTCCCTCGCGCTGCTGCTCAGAGCCCTTAGGCAGCTTTCTGGACCCCCCCCCCGTGCCTCAGTTTCCCCAGCTGTGAAATGGGGTTCCTAATTCCCTGCTTCTGGGGGGTGTTGCGAGGAATAGGGGCGCCATCTCATGCCTTTTGTTGAGTTCTCCGAGCACAGTGGGCCCTGGCCACGCTGCCCTGTGGGACTAGAGGTACCCATGTGTTAGGTGCACATCTGGATACCTCCCCTGAGAGGGGCGCCCCGCCGTGCCAGGCGCTGCGCGTGCAGCACACACCGGGAAGGAGGCTGGCCCCGTTCCCAGGACATCGCTTGCTGGAGAGGCGGGCTGTCACGTATAGCTTGGGCTATACGGTCCCCGGGGGAACCCCCCACAGCGCGACGGCCCCTTCTCGGGGCGTCCAGTCTCTCCCCCGGGGT